CAGTACTATATTTTCAACCATGCATTTAGATCCATCTCTGCATAGAACCGACAATTTTACCAAACACAACTTTCATTTTCATGCCTCCAAATTCCTTTTCCTTCCACTTCACAGTAATGTTTGGTTTCCTAACCATTTCTATTCTTTCTCATGTTCTATAAAAATTCACTTATTATATGAAAACAACAGTGATACTCAAAGACGCAGAATTTAAAGATTGAATGGACGTCTATGAGTCATTAGATACTTCATTTTGCTACTAACATGGGATACACAGCAAAAAACGAATCCATACTTAATACTTTAGTAGTGGAAAATTTTTCAGTTGCAAGATACTCCATTAATAAATCATTTTTTATAAAAAAAAAAAAAAAAAAAACAGATAATATAGAATTCTCTTCTTCTTTGTCTCTTATTTCTTAAAGCATAAGAAAATAATGTGAGGGATTAAGCTATCATTTTATCCAAAATATTTTTCTTTTTCTTCTTTATTCTTTTCAATTCCTTTTTATTCATTCAATTCCAAGAGTGATAGATAATATCATCACAGGGATCTTATAGGTAAAAAAAAAAAAAAAAAAATTAATAATAATATTTCTTTAGTAGTGTATAAGTCATTGGTACAAGCTAGCATTTGGTTTGCGAGAGGGAGAAAACGAAGTCCAAAATAGGTTAAGTCATTGGTTGGTCGTTTTTGGTGATTATTAGGTGTAGTTTTAATTTTCATTTAGACCGGATTGGTAAAGTGGTTTCAACCACTGAATGAGATGTGTTTAGTTTTTCCCACCATTTATAATACGGAGTAATGGGCAGCATTCAAGACTTCCAGTATTGAATCAATACACTCATAAATACATAACCTATTTTTGTTCAATTTCAGATTAAAATCTACCTTAAAACCTACTCCCACTCATCACTCAAGCTACTTAAACCTAAATATCAATTAATTCGTGAAGAGTAATGATAGGGAACCGAAAAAGAATTCTCGAATTAACACCTAATTTGACGTGGTTGGTCATATTAGTCATTTGTCAAATATTTATTTTTTAAAAATTATTTAAGTAAATGAGGTAGATAAAAATACGCCAGATTCGATACTTATTTAGAGTTAATTTTTTAGTCTACCTATCATTATTTATTCTTGAAACCTCACTTCCATGGCAATACATCAATTTCGACCAACCAACGTAAACTAACTCTATCTCCGTAGGCAAAAATAAAAAAATTAAAACACAACTTTAACACAATCAACTTAACTTTATAAGAAACGATTTGAACAATTTGGCTCATTTAAAATTACAAATTAAATTAATGACAGCACATTTCAATCAGTCTTGAAATTGATTTGAGGTTGACGAGTTAAACTTCTATATGTTATATTTTAGTGGCAATTAATCGAGAATGCAAAACAGACACAGATCTGTGAAGGGCTTAGTGTGGGGGTATCTGCCCCACATTTTACATCTCTAAATTTATATTTTTTTACATTTATACCCATAAAATTTTGAAATCGCTCCCATTAAAATTATGAAAAAACCCTTCTATATAATCCCCCCTTCCTATATGAATTTTTAGATCCGTGTTTAATGCAAAACTCAAGAAATCACATGTAATTGAGAATGTAACTATATTTGATTGAGAATGTAATATTGATATAAAGATATGGTATTTTTCATTTAGTAATGTCTACACTGTTAATTATATTTTCAAGTAATATATAGCATCACTCTTGAAATAAATTTGACATTAAATGTTACATAATTAAGTGGAGAATGATGTAATCGACCGGAAAGGATCACAACGCGTCACCGACGAGCGATGATGCCTCACTGACTAGCACTAAAAGTCACTGTAACTTGTTTCTTGGTAAAATCATTTTCAATTCCAATGTCACGATATTTGTTATTCAGTGTCATCACTTCATTAGGGACCATTCTTAATGCGCGCATATGTGTATATATATAGTGATGGCAGTTCGGACTGTTTCATAGAGAATTAATGTGAATTATGGGCCATCATTTGGCATTGCAAACAGTTGAAGCTGTCGAATTGACCACTCTCTGTCACATAGTAGCGTGTTGAGTAATGTTGTTAGATTTGGAAATTCCTAAAAAGTGAACTCTACATAAAATTAACATGACTATCGTGATTAAATATGAAATTTAGATGGCGGTAATTGATACAATTGAAAAAAAAAATTTATAGTGATAAGTGTTAAATATGCATTATTTTAGTTTATATAAAAATTGTAAGAAATGATTATATCTATTTTCTATCTGGATTAGAGGATAATGATTTTCATACTTTAAACTTATTTAATAATGAGAGGGATTATGAAATAAACTATGGTATTTGGCATACCTTTTGCTTTTTATTTTAGATGAAAAAAATAAGCAAAAGCTCTATTTTCATTCATTTTGAGTTATATTTTTTTAGGACATGGATGGTTTTTTTTTTTTCATAGCACGCTTCCGAATTTCGTAAGTTTCACTAAACCCATGAAATAACTTACGAATAATTTTTTTTAGTCAAAATTCTTTTTTTAAAAAAAAAAAATTTAGTCAAACACTAACTGAAAACCAAGCACCATTTAATCAAAATAGGCACATATGACGTCTTTGGTTTTGGACCTATTTTATAAAATTAAATATGATCTCATTTATAATTGAATTGTCACCATAATTTGTGTATAACATATAAATTACCTGATAAAATCACAAATTTTAGTTTTTTTTTTTTTTTTTTTTTTTTTTTTTTGCCATTCAAAGGTACAAAGGCCTAAAGTCAAGATGTCAATACAGAGACATAAAACCAAGTCATAAAAGGCATATAAATCTTGAAGCAAAACAAATAAATGAAGAACAGACTCAAAATTTGTGGGGAAAACAGAACCCAACACTCTGCAAATGGAACTACCATGGAAAAACGCAGCAAACAGGAGAGACCGAAAGATTTAACCATCATCACGACAATCGCTCCAAAATTACAACCATAAGGTACTCCAATACCCAACAAATTTAAGTATAATTTACCAATCTCTTGAATATAGTGATATCTCGTGAATATAGTGGTATCTCGATCTCTAATGTATAATATAAAAGTTCAAGTTTAACTTTTAAAGTAGTAAGTTTGAAAAGCAAATGAGTGCATAACTTTTTTGTTAAAAGAAAACGGAGGCAATATTTGCAACAATTGTTTATTTTTTATTTTTTATTTTTGTCAAAGAAGTAACTATTAAAAAAATCATATCTTCCCCCAATATATTTATTACAGAAATTATCTCTTTTTGTTAAGTTATTTATTTATTTATTTAAAAAAGGATTCAAAAAAATATTTTCTCTATTGAATAGATTATCTCTTTTGATAAGACCAATTTTTTTTTTTATTGTCAAAAATAAAATTATTAGGAATAAGTTATCTCTTCTAGAGGACCTCTAGAAAGAAAGAAAAAACAGAAAAAGAAAAAAGAAAGTAAAGAAGTGAAAAAAAATTAAAGTTGTATAAAGAATGTAAAACTATAAAATAAAAAATTGTATATTAATGAATTTAAAGACTTATTTGTCATTTTATTTAAAATAATATATATATATAAGTTGAGTGCAATTAAATAGAAGTGAGTGAAAATATCTTCGTTCTTCATTGGTTATATTAACTCAAGTAAGGTGGTGCGGAAACAACGTCCTCTTCCTGGTCGCCCCTGTTGTCCATACTCAACGTCCCCCAACTGAAACCGTCTTTTTCCTCCAATATTTCTCTTGATATTTATATTTATTGACATATGCATATACATATATATACACACACGTATATATATATATATTACACATATATCGGTTTTCGTTCTCTCTGCAACTCTAAAATTCAGTTACTCTCTCGCGCCGGAAAACATCCCTCCAACAATCGCCTGGCTGTATATGCACCACTTTACGACGATCCGCTTGTTGATCTCTGGTTCGATTCACATTCGAATTGCTTGAATTAGATACACATGTATGTATATGAATATATGTATTTATTTTTTAATTTGGTTATTTTGTGATTGGAGAAATTTTTGTGTCGCGTGGTTGAGGAAAATGAGATTGTTCGGTTTCAACTTTCAACTCATGGTGATTGACTTGCAGAACATTTAATTTAATGAAATTAAACGAAATTTAAACAATAATCTTCGAGTCTTGTTTTATTTTAATTTTAATTTTTTTTATTGAAGATATTTTCTCAACTTGAAGATGTTCTCCTTTTCTCTCTGCTTTGCCGGTGTTTTGGAGTATTTGGATAAAACAGACGAATTCGAAGGATTTACTTGGATTTATTATTGTTTTTGGTTTTTGTTGATCGATTCATGGAATTTATTTGAGACTCATAGAAAAGGCTTAGATCTCTCTCGTAATCTACAAAATCGTTACAATTTTTTTTTTAGCTTTTTTATCGACTTTCGGTCCTAAATCTGTTAAAAAATGGGAAGAGTCAAAAGCAAAAGATTGTTTATATCAAATTCTGCAAATAACGATGTCTGTTTATTTCTCTGCACAAATGTTTTTTTTTTTTCGGAAGTTATTTTCTCTGTACATTTTAAACCTATATATGTGTATATATGTATTATACTATTATGTTATTGTAGATTCATGGGGATGTACAATGGTCTTCCTTGCCCGTGGTCCTCCATGTCTGTGTCCATAACCCTAAAATTATATGGCATATGTAATCTAAACCTTTTTATTCGATGAAATAATAAAATGCAAACAAACAAAATTAATAATAATTTGGAATTTTTTTATGGATTCATTAATAGAAAACAATTGATAATAGTTAAAAAATAATGTGTTTTGCATCAGGAGAAGGCAGTTGATCCTGAGATAAGAGAAGTTAGAGAGAGAGATAACGGGGAGGTTAGAGAGAGAAAGTACTTTCCCTTTTGCTGTGTTCACTTTCATTGAATTCCCTTTCATGAAAATGAGTTGGGTGGGAGGAAGAAGAAACAGGCCAGAGGGGTTGTGAGTGTGAAAGTGTGTGTACAAACGATACTATCCAGCCCGGCCGACCATGTCACTCCCGTGACAGAGACAAAAGAGGGTCCGGTCTAGAAAGGGAAAAAAGAATCCCTCTTATCCTGCACGCCCTTCCCATCTCTTATCCTACACCCCCACCTCCTTTTTCAATTTTTAATGGAGGGGCTTACTTACTCAGCCTTCCTTTCTTTCTCTTGTTCCAAGGGACCCTACTCCCCTGCAATTCGTTGTTAAACTGACTCTAGTGATGACAGTTAAATGCATATTCTTCCCCTCTATATAATCTAGAGAACAAACCAGATGTTGTTTCTCCAATGCCTCTGCTATTCTTTGCCATTGCCTAAATCTGATCTGTTAAGATTTGGGCTTTTCTTGATGAATAAAGAATACCCATTTGCATTTGTTTGCTGTAATTCTCGAATTTATTCTTGCTTAGATCTGAGTTTCTGTAAAGATGTATTCTTTTGATTATCTTTTACTTTTCCTCATGGGTTATTCTTTTATTTCTTTATATTTCTTTCTGTATTTAATTTTTTTCTTTTCCTCTCTGTAGTATCTTACTTTTGGTTGTGAATTTGTGGCAGATTTGTTGCAGAGAAAAGGATCTCTTTTTTGAGCAATTGGTATCATTTTATTAAATGCGGGATTTATGAAAGCCTGTCGAATTTGTTTAGCTATATGAAAGGAGGTGTCAATGTGGTCTAATCTAGTCCGTTTGGATGGATGTATGTGAATCAGAGCAACCATTACGGAAGCAGTCGGCAGTGGAGACCTCAAGACCACCATTGGTTCCGGCTGAGAAGAACAATGGAACAATCCGTCGGTCTCGAACAAGGGAAATTAGTTCTAGGTATAGGTCGCCTACTCCAGTCACTCCTGGTCCCAGGCGATGCCCTTCTCCAAGTATTACTAGGACAGTTAGTGCGCCCTCCCAGTTGGTACAGAAGAGAGCTATATCTGCTGAAAGGAAGCGGCCCTCTACACCACCATCACCGACTAGACCATCCACACCAGTTCATGATACATCAACAGAGATGCAATTGGCATCTAGGAAGATAATGGGAAGCCGGTTGCCTGAGGGTTTATGGCCTTCCACGATGCGCAGTCTCAGTGTTTCCTTCCAGTCTGATACCTTTTCTCTTCCTATTTCTAGGAGAGAGAAGCCAGTTACTCATGCCCTTTCCGACCGCGCCTTGAAGCCATCATCAAATGTGGCACATAAGCAGGCTGAAACTCCCCCAATTTCAAGAAAGCCTACACCCGAGAGAAAGAGAAGTCCTCTTAAAGGAAAGAATGTCACTGACCATTCAGAGAATTCTAAACCAGTTAATGGTTTGCAATCTCGACTAGTGGATCAGCATCGATGGCCGAGCAGAACAGGTGGAAAAGTATCTTCCAACACTTCATATAAAAGCATGGATCTCACCGATAAGACAACTAAAACTTCAACTTCACCCCATTTGGGAACTGGGATACCTTCCCTGATGAGAATGCCCATATCTGATGGTACTAGTAAACCTTTGCAGAAAACTGCCAGTGACACGGCGAGGCTAGTATCTTCTGGTGAAAGTAGAAGAAGGGAGTTTGAGGCATGTTCAATTGATGACAATGTGCCGGAGTCTGGATCACACAAGATTGTTTCTTCGAGTTCATTAGAAAGAACGACAATTGTGAGTCCTGCACTTAGATCTCAATCTCTGCCTACTCCTAGATCACGTCCTCCTTCACCAAATAACACATCAGTGTTATCATCCTCTGTTTCAAGAGGTGTCAGCCCCTCTCGTATGAGGACCTTGAATACTATTCCTTCAAGAGGGGTCAGTCCATCTCGGATAAGAGCATCCAGTCCTTCAAGACAATCCAGCAGTTCAACAACTTCGGTACTTAGTTTTATTGTGGATATTAGAAAAGGAAAGAAGGGCGCAAACCACATAGAAGATGCTCATCAACTGCGGCTACTGTACAATAGACATTTGCAATGGCGATATGCTAATGCCAGAGCTGATACTGCACTTTATACTCAGAAAGTAACAGCAGAGGTAGGGGTTATATTACTTTTATGGAACGAGCAAGCTTTATGCAGGCCCTTTTTTCTGTCATACAATTTAGTTACCCAATCTTTCTCGTTCTTTATATGTAAAAGAAGCAAACGAATTCTGATGGCTCCCCTTGGATGGTCCAATGCTCCCTATGTTATTATATCTGTTTCAGACTGTTGGTGGATTTGTTTCATTTGGTGCAATTGATAAAGTTCAGTATTTCTGTGTTCAAGACCTGGTAATGGTGGTGAAGATACTGAACAAAAACAAAAATAACATTGAATGGTGTAAAAGAGAATTTAACACATGCTGTTAAGCATAATTAAGATACTTCTTTGATAATTTTTTCTTGATTATATGTCATGCATCGCGCATTGCTTTTTTGTTGCAATGTTTAATGGTTTAGTAATGCATATTCTGTTAAGCATAAATTCTGACATATAAATCTCTAGTATTGCACATTTGTTTTCATTAATTGCTTCCATCTTCAATTTAATGATGCAGAAAACATTATATAATGTGTGGAGAACTACCTCAGAGCTGTGGGACTCAGTAACCGAGAATAAGATTGACCTCCAACAGCTGAGGCTGAAGCTGAAGCTGTACTCAGTTTTGAACGAACAAGTAATGCCTCTCCCTTACAATGTTATCATTTTATCAGTAACATTGAGTTTTGAATCAATCCTCAGTAACTTTTCTATGTGGCTTTTGTTGGGGTCTTTAGATTTTTAACTTTTCTTTCTTAATTTTCATCTTTAACCTTATGTGCTCGAAAATTATGTGGCTTGTTTTGGAAAACCTGAAAACAAAGTTTAAACATTAACAATGGTAAGGAAGTACTAAGGTCTTTCAACAGGTCATTGTGTGACAACTTATTTCTAAGCTGTCAGCCCAGCAGTGTATGCCGATGAGAGTAGATTCTAATTTATCGTTTCAAAACAAGTTCCGAAAAATACAAGGAAAAAAAAGTCAATAGCCAATGATTTGATGTTAAGAAAGAGCGGCATGACATGTCTCAGATGGTGTCCAAATAGGACTTATGATTAAAATTTAAAAATATAAATAAATAAATCCAACTTATATGATCTCTGTGTTTAGACATCATGTATAATTTCCTGATATTATCTGAATAAATCAAACTATTCTCCTGCAAAAGAAAATATTTAGTAAGAAATTGGTAATCAATTTGGATTTTTAAGCCATATATTGGCTTGTCTCTTGTTTTAAGAGGTTTGTTTGTGTGTGGCATGGATGCTGATTTGGTCTTCAAATAGGACTTATGATTAAAATTTAAAAATATAAATAAATAAATCCAACAAATATGATTTTTGTTTAAAATAACCTATAAACCAAAAACTACACTGGACCCTTTCTTTTCTGAACCAAAAAGGTTTTTAATTATTATGGGCCACAGCTTTTATTGTGGGCTTGCAAAGCCTGTGATATTTGCCTGCATATCAACAGATCAGTATCAGCAGCAAGCGAACTGGATCAGTCATGAAGCCTTTAATAGCGTTCGTGGGAAGTTATTTAGTACCGAGTAAAATATGGGCTTTTTGTAGAAGTATTTGAAGTCACTTGTTACAACTTGGTTTACAAATCTGGTGCTGTTAAAAAAGAGTGGTTAAATTTATTTTTTTGAAACTTTCAAGATCTAGGTCAAACTTAATTTATCTGGTTCTGTGCCATGGTTCTCTTTTGGCATTATATGTGCATTTATATTTTTCCCGATTTTAACTTTTTTTTTTCATTGTTTTGAACTTTTTTTTCCCGGTTGATACTCACATACCACCACCCCCTTTTGATTCTATATTTGACTGTTGTCATTATCATAATTGCGTGCAAATTTGGCTGGTTCAGATGGCCTACCTCAATGACTGGGCTTCGATTGAAAGAGATCATTCTAGTTCTTTATCTCAAGCTATTGAAGATCTTCAGGCAAGCACTCTCCGACTTCCCGTGACTGGAGGGGCAAAGGTAAGTTCATTCACGATAATCATTGAATCTTCTAAAATTATAAATGATTGAACCACTAATGAGATGTGTGTTTCTAACTTTCTACAGGCAGATATGGAAACTGTCAAGGCAGCTGTTTGCTCAGCTGTTGATGTTATGCAGGCTATGGGATCCTCCACATGTGCTATACTCTCAAGGGTGAGATTCTTGCTTCTCTGAGTTTATTTACAACGCAGGCATCATGCAATATTTACTTTCGATCTACGTTATTTTATTTTGGTTCCCTATCGAGCTCTAGAATATACCCTCTTATATCTTGTGTAAGTTGCCATGCACGTCTTGTATTTACTCACCTCAATGGTTTATAAATTAAGGTTTATAGGTTTGTAGCCACAACTTACAAAGATATGAACTAATCATATGAGATTTTTGTGGATTATCTGGTGGTCACATTGGTAAAACTAATTTTCAACATTTTTTTGAGAAACATGCAGGTTATCAATCTAATAAATCTGAATTAAGGTATTATATAGTGTATACCATATGTAATTTCGTGTATGAAAGCATTTATTGCACGTGCTTGGGAAAGGTTTTATTAATATTAGAAAGACACGAGTTAAATAGGCTGCAATATTATGAAATCCAAATTAATTGGTATTAGATAGTATGGAAGCATTTATTACACTTGCTGGGGAAAGGTTACGTCAAACTTATGAAATCCGAATTAATGGGTATTAGATAGTGACCACTTGTAGTTTCATGTATGGATGCATTTATTACATTTGCTTGGGAAAGGTTATGTTAATGTTAGAAAGACACAAGTTAAATAGGCTGCATTTTAAGAATATATAGTTACCAACAAGATGTGCAAAATTGGGTGACATTTTTTTTTTTTTTTTAATTTATAATAATACCATGTGTAGGTTTCTTAATCCTATAGTCACTGATATCAAGTATTGAATACTATATGCTATTTCATGTACTTTTCATTTTTTTGTCATTCTAATGCTAAAACCTAATATTATGACAGAAGCAATTATTATATGTGCTTGGGATACATTGCTTTAAATTTGGGCAACATGATTTAAATGGGCTGCATACTTGGATGATATAGCTGTCTGCAAGATCTTTAGAATTGCATGAAATTCTTTGAGTCCTACCATGTTGTGCACATACTAGTGTCTTGGAAGGACAAGGATTTGTAGGGATTGTGAGAGTGGGTGCTTTGTGTGTGTGTGTGTGTGTGAGAGAGAGAGAGAGAGAGAGAGAGAGAGAGAGAGGTGAAAGGAAATGTATCAAGTAGGAATACACTTGCATTTAATAATTTATTTATGTTTTGTATGAGATTTAATTCAATGAAAAAGTGTTTTTTAGTTGAGGGTTATCTGAAATACAAATGTTGAGAGGATTTGAACCTGAGGTGATACGCCTTAAAATATCCTTTAAGCCTCAACTAAAGGTCAAGAGAGTTAAGTGGTCATCTGAAACATAAATGTTACAGAGTTATATTGTCCTTCCAGGCTTCCAGTATCAACGCAAGTTCAAGAATTAAGGCATAAACCTTAAATGCTTTCTCAAACATTTTCATCCTGTGGATGTGCTTTATTTGTTTGCCTATCACATTTCTATCTGGCATGAGAGTAATTTTTTCTGATGGATATCATCAGTCAAGGTTCCACTTTGTAAATAGGAGAATGTTCTATTATATAGTGTGTTACTTGAAAAAATCATGGAGCATCGCACGGCTTTGTGCATTGTGGCATTGTGGACCTTTTGCCACTTGGGGTACTGGGCTAGACTGCTCTGGTGGTACTAACCACCTTGGAGATGGACCCCACTATGACAATTGTTTTCAGTACCCAGGAAGGGGATGCCTACCATGATGGTAAGTGCAGAAGCCTGTTGCAAGGGCAGTGTTGCCTGAGGGAAGCACATGTTGATGTGTTCCTTCAAGGCAACTATCCTGGGTTTGGAGAGGCTCCATGGAGCTTTACAAACACCGCATGTGTCAGTATGGTCAGGTTGTCTAATCACAGGATCACTAAAGGTTTTTGGCTTGGCGGCTGCAGTGGGGAGATAGACAAAGTGAATTTTTGCTCTTGGTCAATTGTGTCTCTTCTGGTCTTGATTTGGTCGACTTGAAAGTATTATGTGACGTCGTTCTCGGAACATGGTGTCAATATGTTCCATTCTGAATTAAGGTTTCACCTGCCAATGCAGCAACATGCAGTCACTCTTCATTCCCAGCGTTGCATGCCCTGCAAACCAGTGTTCCAGTATTTGCCCAGAATGTGTAGCTCAGCGGGCAATCATATACTTGGACTCTTGCACAAAGTTCGATTGTCCTTATTCTAATGGAATGGCGTTGGAGCCTTTTCATTAACAGCCAAGTGCCCAATGCCATCGACACCTCTCATTTTGCACTTTCACATTTCACCCCATACTAACTATAATAAGTCAAGATAATTGGGTTATCCTCTAATTGCATATCATGTCCTTGGAAAGAAAGACCCTACTATTTTGTTAATCACTACAGAATGAATTTCTGCATAATTTTTTATATTTGGTGTGTGTGTGTGTGAGAGAGAGAGAGAGAGAGAGATGTGTGTGTGTGTGTGTGTGTGTGTATACATCTATATTGAATATTGACTTCTATATTGAGTTTTTTGGCCTTGTGCTGCCTTAGCTTGCACAAACTGCCAACTAAATATTGACATGCACTTTGTAAACATCAAATGCTTGTATCTTTTTATGGGATTCTTGGGGCTTCCTAAGGTTCCTGATTAAACCATTGTGATTGCTGAACTCTGCTGGTTATCCTCTATGATTTATAGGTGGAGGGGATGAACTGTCTGGTTTCTGAACTTGCTGATATAACAGCCCAGGAAAGAGCCATGCTTGATGAATGTGAAGCTCTATTGGCTTCTACAGCAGCTATGCAGGTGAGAATGAATGTGGACTGTTGCAATCTTGAATTACTGTGCACAAGTACAAACTTAAATATGTTTATCATCATAGTATCTTATGAGAATGTTTTGCTGATAGAATTAGAAACATCTTTTCAATCCCTGTTTGTTCTATTTTTTGGTTCAAGTAGTCTTTCAGAATCCAGTTGTTCGTGTATCATTCTAGTTGGGCTTGTGATCCAGCTCTATTACGCCTTCTTCCAATCCAGATACCTGATGAGGTTGAGACAATAAATGCCCGTTCTTGGTCATGCTTGATCACCGTCTTTTTTGTGGATTCTAGAGTTATTTGTTATGTAGCAGTTCACTATTGTACATTTGTCGATCTAAAGTTATATCTGTCAAACTTGATGGTTTTTCCTTTCAGTCAATGCATTTTTCATTCCAAACTAAACTAAACCCCAAGCTACTTTGGCTATCTTGAACTACCTAGTCTATGGAGGTGGATGATTTGGTTGCCAACTGAGCTACAGTTTGGTGGTGGATTTGTATGGATAGGTTCTGTCACCTTTCCCCAAATGAAATGGCTTGTAAGGAGATCCATCTCTCCAGGAAAGCAAAGCATTTATGTTTCATTTTTTTTTTTTCCTAGTTATTTGAGTTATTTTTTTTAGAAGACTATTATTACAGAGTGTTGATCCTCTGAGGGTGCTGCGAGGAGTGGACAGTGGATCCAACCTTAACATAGGCATTATTTGGTCAAAAGTGTTTTTTCTTTGGTTCAAAAGAAACAAAACTAAAGTTCACTATCTACACTCATCTTGTTATTTGAGTTTGGATTCTTCAGGCATCTTCTTACTCATAAATTTTTATAAAAGATTCCGTGAGTAGAAAATATGAATTTCTCACTATTGTTGACTCAAAACAGGTAGAGGAATACAGCCTTAGGACCCATCTCATACAATCGAGACAAGCTTGGGAAATTGGTGATCAGCCTCTGTTGGCCATCAAAACACCTCCATGACTCAATCCAGATGCTCAGCTAAACAATCTTTCCGTTTGCCACTTTAACAAAGACAAATGACACGAGCTTCTCCTGTCTCAGTGTGAGTGTATATTGATTCTTTTTTTTTTTCTTTTTTTTTTTTTTCCCTTTCTTCTTTTAACTCTAGCGGGAATGTGTATTTTCTTTAAATCCATTCTTTTTCCTTCTCAGCAAAGAGCTGTAGGCTCAGGCCTTTCATATAATTTTTGTATCACTTAAATGAAAAGAAAATGCCAAGGAAGAAAAGAAATTGAATTCAATAGAGAAGCAGGTTCTGGATTTGATAAAGCCATTTTGAGTCGATTGCTTTTGACATTTGAAATAGAGATTGCGAATTATGGCAGTCCTCCAAGTTGATCATATGGGTGCGCTGTGGTCAAAAGTTTTTCTGCTTTAGCTGGAGTATCACTTACCATTTCTTTGTCTAGAGAATATGAATTGGTTAATCACCGTATGAAATATTTTCGAATGTAAAGTGTCATCGGACTCATCCCCAAGGACAAAGCGACTGTGTGTGGGTTTCATTAAAGTCTATAGTACCTTCCTTCTTTATTGGTTGATGATTTTTGGTTTTATAATTTTTTAAGGGAACATATAATTAATACATTGTTTTCTTTTTAAATTATTAAATTATCCTTCAAACATTAAATATATATAACACCAAAATTTGAATTTTTTTTAAAAAATAAAGGATAATAATGAAAATAAAATGGAAATTTTTTTTGACTTTTGACAATTAATTTGAGACATATAAAAAAAAAAAAAAAAAAATTGAATTACTAATAAGGGAGGGCGGGGCAAAGCACTGTGTGTGGGTTTCATTAAAATATATATATATATGTGTGTGTGTGTGTGTACATGTATGTATGTATATATTTTTTTAAGAAAAAAAAAAAAAAAAGGAAAAAGAAAAAGAAAAGAGGTCTTCCACATACCTTTATTGTGAAATGACTTGACTTTGACATAAGCAGGCCATTAAATGTCACTCATGACTATTAATTGAATGCCACCGGGATTAGGTACATACCTGTATTATAGGTAATCAACGGAGTCCTCGCGTGACAAAGGTCACTGCATTCAGTGTCACTACTCATGGTCCCTGTTAATTGAATGAATGATTTTGAATTTATTAAAAATTTATTTGATTTTTTATGATGTAAATTATTATATCAATTCAACAAATAGATACTCAACAGATTTTCTTCACGTCTTATGTAAATTTATTATTATTATTTTTAACCTCCGCAACAAACTTACCCCCTTAAATGCTATGCAGGCCATACAACGAACAACTTCTTAATCAAGTTTCAGACTAAACCTTCCAACTTCAAGATATTGCAATGTTGTAGTAGTGATGATACAAAATGAAGACAGAGTTAATGGTATTTAATGAGAGCCAAACTATTGTCAAGTCAACCATACTATAAGGAACAAAATGTTGGACCCATAGTTTTGGAACGAGGAATGTTAAGTTGAATAATAAAAGTGATTAGAAGATAATATACTCGATGGGATAATTGTATAAAATGAAGCTTTTTAGATGTATTTGAATGATTTATTCATAGGTGGACACAATACTGTCGGTGGTTATTAACTTAACTTGTGATAATTGCTTTAGAAGTTTTTTTAATTTTTGGGAAAAGTTAAGCAAGTTGTATATAAAAGTAAGGGTACAAGCCTACAGCAAGCCTATTGGGCCAAAAAGAAAAATACAGTCCAAGTGACAAGGCCCATTTGGTCGTCATAAGTACCTGCTTGCTGGTATATACTACATACCAGCACTCGGCGCCTTTAGCCCTAAGAATTAGTCCGGTGGCCGGAGAGGATTGTGTCAATTTATTAAAACAAATTGACGTTAGAAATTGATGTCTAACTCTAACGTCAGGGGCCTCGCATCCTATGAGTTGGTCTAACGAACCACACTCCCACTGGCTCCCGTGTTGTTTCGGCATCAAATACGAATGGAAGGAACTATATATTTAGCTTTGCAATCTGTTGTTCATGGATAAGAATTTCATTCACTCCACAACGATCCCACAAGTTTGAGTTACCGTTTAAAGTTTTGTTTCATCGATCAGTTTAATTTATCACCGAATGTTTCCGAAACAAATGATTTGCAGAAGCATACCCACCTCTGCATCATGTGATCGAAACTTGTTCCTGAACCTCATCAACAAAGCCCCCACTCTCTCTCAACTCAACCAAACACACGCTCAAATCATCGTCAACGGTCAGCAAGACCACATCCCAACGGTCACCAAGCTGACCCAAAAGCTTTCTGACCTTGGGGACATAACCCAAGCAAGCCTCCTTTGTTCAACATTCCCCAAACCTGACCTCTTTCTCTACAATGTCCTCATCAAAGGATTCTCACACAACAAATCACCAGCCAATGCGGTCTCTCTCTACCTTCACCTTCGCCAAAACACCACCCTTAAGCCGGATAACTATACGTACGCATTCACTGTGTCTGCTTCGTCGGCTTTGTCATCGGTGAAAGTTGGGTTATTGCTTCATGGGCATGCAATCGTTGATGGGTACGCCTCGGATTTGTTTGTGGGGTCTGCTGTTATTAATATGTACCTTAGTTTTTCCAAGGTTGCACTTGCGTACAAAGTGTTTGATGGAATTCCTGAGCCGGACACGGTTTTGTGGAACACGATGATTTCTGGGTTGGTGAAGAATTGTTGTTTTGAGGACTCCATGCGGGTTTTGAGGGATATGGTTGTGAGGGGGACTCAATTGGATTCGACAACATTGGCTGCATTTCTTCCAGGGGCTGCGGAATTGCAGGACTTGAGAATGGGGATGATGATACAGTGTTTGGCAATGAAGGTTGGGTTTCATTGTGATGATTATGTTCTCACGGATCTGATTTCTTTGTATTCAAAATGCGGGGAGATTCCAACAGCGTGGTTGTTGTTTCAGCAAATTCAGCTGCCGGATTTAATATCATATAATGCAATGATTTCTGGCTTTTCTTCTTGCAATGAGACCAAGTCTTCTGTGAGGCTTTTCAGAGAACTGCTTGTTTTAGGGCTGAAAGCCAATTCAAGCACCATTGTAGGTTTAATTCCCGTTGTTTCTCCCTTTGGTCATTTGGATCTTACACGCTCAATCCATAGTTTCTGCTTGAAATCTGGTATTGTATTTAATTCTTCAGTGTCAACCGCATTAACTACAGTTTATAGTCATCTGAATGAAATTGAGTCTGCAAAGCAGCTTTTTGATGAATCCCCAGAGAAAAGCTTGGCATCTTGGAATGCTATGATTTCAGGTTATGCACAAAATGGGCTAACAGAAACTGCAATATCCCTCTTCCGGGAAATGCAAATGCTTCATATCCGTCCAAACCCTGTCACTGTTACCAGTATTCTTTCGGCTTGTGCTCAACTAGGAGCTATAAGTCTAGGAAAATGGGTCCATGACTTGATAAACAGAGAGAATTTTGAATCCAACATATACGTGTCAACTGCTTTAATAGACATGTACGCAAAGTGCGGAAATATTGGGGAGGCTAGGCAATTATTTGACATCATGCCCGAGAAGAATATGGTCACTTGGAATGTCATGATCTCTGGTTATGGCCTCCACGGACACGGGAACGAAGCACTAAAGCTCTTTACTAAAATGGTGGATTCTGGGGTTCCCCTATCTGGGGTTACTTTCCTTTCTGTCTTGTATGCTTGCAGCCATGCAGGCCTGGTGAGAGAAGGAGAGGAAATTTTTCATTCAATGCTTCATAATCATGGCTTTGAGCCATTGGCTGAGCATTATGCCTGCATGGTTGACCTCCTTGGTCGAGCTGGAAACTTAGATAAGGCCTTGGAATTTATAAAGAGAATGCCGGTTGAACCAGGTCCTGAAGTGTGGGGTGCATTACTAGGTGCTTGCATGATTCACAAGGACACAAACCTAGCACGTTTTGCTTCTGACAAGTTGTTTGAATTGGCCCCAGAAAATGTAGGATACTATGTTTTACTCTCTAACATATACTCAGCTGACCGGAACTATCCTCAGGCTGCTTCAGTACGACAAGTTGCCAAGAAGAGAAATCTGGAAAAGGCTCCCGGGTGCACTCTTATTGAGGTTGGTGAGACCCCACATGTATTTACATCCAGTGACCAGTCTCACCCACAAGCAACAGCGATCTACACGATGCTGGAAAAGTTGATGGGAAAGATGAGGGAGGCCGGCTTTCAGACAGATACAGTCACAGCATTGCATGACGTGGAGGAGGAAGAGAAGGAGCTGATGGTGAAATTTCATAGTGAGAAGTTGGCAATTGCTTTTGGGCTTATTACTTCTGAACCAGGAACTGAGATCAGGATCATAAAAAATCTTCGGGTTTGTTTAGATTGCCATAATTTTACTAAATTCGTATCCAAGATCACAGAGAGAGTTATTGTTGTGAGGGATGCTAATAGGTTCCATCATTTTAAGGACGGTGTGTGTTCTTGCAGAGACTATTGGTGAAACTTTTGTTATCTGCAGAGTGAGATCTGCATCTAACTGTACCATTGGAGTTTCATGCCATCAAACTGGGACAACCTTGTGGTTATTGCCAAAACTATACAAAACAAGATCTTATTGTGTCTGTGTTCTGGCATGACACTCCGCGACATTAATAGAAGTTATACTTTTTTCTCACAGCAAAACAAATTATAATTATATCTCATTCAAACCGACTCAACCCATCTCCTCCATTACATCCTACAAACTCTTTCAGCGATGTGTTGCTCAACTTGAATAAGCCCTCTTGGCAGTCAATGTGAAGGGCAAGCTCTTCCTCTTTTACTGGTAGAAAGGAGACCTGACCCGACCCATGCAAGTTTCTTACTGACATTCTTAAACGTTTGACATGTGTTTGGCAGAGATTTGGGGGATCTCAGTTTTGTGACACAGGTGAGCAACTGTACAGAGGCATTTTTCATTCTGCACTCAACTTCCTGTAATATTCTGGTTATTGTTATAGCAAATTTTTTTCCTAACAATTTTTTGGATTATTATTTTGTTTACTCAAAAGGTGCAACTTTCATGGGAATCAGGGTGTTCATCATATAAGTACGCTTTAGGTATATAGATTGGTGCTAGAAACAGAACTGGGGAATTGATTTGCTTCTAGAAACCAATCTGTAATGAATTTGAAGCAATGATGTCTAATCCAGGTTTAAACATGACATAAATTTTATTGCCATATTTGATGGAAACTATGTTTCACTGTTCGATTTTGTATATGCTAAAATATAATGATAAATAGCCTTCTCAGTTTTTATTTTTTTATTTTTGAACAAATTTTTAAATGACAACTGCTCTGCAAATCTGGCAGTGTAGAAAAAATAGGAACAAAGTTGTTTTTCCGTCTTTCCTTCTCTTCATTTCGGCATTAGAGGGAGCTGAAAATGGACTTATGATGCGCTTTTCTTTTAGCATCCGATAGTTTAAGGCTTTAAGCATTTGTTTTTGGAAATCTTGAAAGTGTCCTACTTTGTTTATATGATATAAAGCCTTTCCCAATATGGATGTATTTTTTTGACGACATAGGAGGCACTCACTGTAGCTGCATATAGGGTGCTCAGAGCAAGTTCACTTGGAAGACATGCCTGACCTTTTTAATATTATTTTACACAATGTGGTTGTTAAAGACGCAAACTCGCGTATTCAAGCTTATTAATTTTGTGTTTTGCATTTAAGCTTTTTAACAACTTCCATGCTTTGATTTTTTGCTTTTTTTCCTTAATGTTGTGTGTGTGTGTATATATATATATATTTTCTTTTTCAATAATTGTCATCAACAGGTTTCACCAATTCCATTATCCTTGTATGTTTAGTTCCTTGCATATATGAGCTAAGGGTATGTTGGGCAGCACCGTTTTAAAGCTTTGGAATTGGAATTGGATGCTCCAATTCCAAATCCTGTGTTTGGATACCATAAACTAACATGGGTTTGGGATTACATTTGAATCCCAAGTCAGTGATTTCAATACCACGGCGGAACCATGGATTTGTAATCCCAAAACCAACCCAATCCCTCTCTGGCTCTCTCTCCTCGTCGCTCATTCAACCCTAAGCTCTTGATCTCTCCCGACCACCAACCTCTTGAACTCAATCAATGGCTCATTCCTCAACCCTTCCATGTCTATTCCATCTCAATCCAGCTCCCTATTTCATCTCCAACCCTAATCAGCCTTCAAATCCTAGCTCATCCATCATTATTTTGGAACCCTAGCTCAATCGTACAGTTGAAGACGAGGATCACCAGTAGTAGCAAAGTGTATGTCAATATCTCTATGTACTGATTTTTTCCCTCTTGCTCTTCTTCTTTAAACCCTAACTGTGCATTTGCTTCTTTTCCTAATGGTGCAGAAATCAAAGAAGTCATATACAATAGATTTTCTGTTATCTTTTACTCATTTGGATATATGCAAAGAGTTACCAAGTGAATTTGACCGGTCAAATTTAGAGTTAGACTCTGCTATAATTGTTTATTTATTTATTTTTCATTTTTTTTCCCCCTGTTATTGCTGTTGCTAAGTTTATTTTGTTATTCTTAGTTTCTTAAAAATTTAGAAACCATGATTTTCATCTAAATTTTTGGTGCTATTAATTGTTTCAGCTGAAATTTAGAAGCAACTCAACAACATTTTTTTGGCAGGGTGTGTACTTAGCAAGACTTTCTGTGTTACTTTATAGTTTGTATCATTTAGAACATTAACTGCATTTTTTCCCCTCATTTTATAATGGTTCAGACAGTCAAAATTTTCACAAGAGATTTTCTTTTGCTATTTGGTGAGTTGAAAATTTGCAAAAGGGTACCTAGCGTATTTGACCCATCAATTCTGGAGTAAGATGCCACCATAGCTGCGAGATTTAGTTGTTGTTGTTGTTATATTGCTCTTAATTCTATGTTTCGTTTTTTAAACAGCAATGTGGAGGAGAGTAAGACCTCTCTGCAAGCCCTTGGTTTTAGCTATGATTGTTATTGAATTGAATCTCTTTTGTTAAATATCAATTCTCTAGTGATTATCTGATTGATGATCCTTTGTACCTTTACTAATATTAGAAGAGAGTAATGGTCCCTTTACTTTAGTCCTTTTTTTTTTTTTTTTCTTAGATGGAGTACATTTGTTTAACTAGAGAATTAAGAGAAATCAGTGCATGAAAATGATCTAACTTCAAGGTATCATTCCTTGTACTTTATGACGTGTTGTAGTACATAACACATGTCATTAAGTAAACTTTAATGGCGCTATATCTTACATTTTGTCCTTTTGCTTATAATTTTTCACATTGGAGATGGTTATATCATAAAACATTGACTGACAAAGGAACAAAGTGTGCATTTATGTTGAGTATTTACCTAAAAGAGTAATAATAAAAAAAGAAGAAGTGTGCATCGACTTGGTGTCAAGCTTTTCTCCTGGATTGAAAGCCTGGGGTTAATATTCAATTGCATTAATGGAGCGAAGGGTAGGTTGTAGGAACAACTTTCATGTTTGTCTCTGGAGCTCTAATTAATAGGTATATGGGTGCTCTCAATTGATCACCCCTTTTTTTCCATTCTAAATCTGGAACCCAATTCATCCTGGACATGGGTTTCCAATAACAGAAAGTAATGGACAGAATCCACTAACTCTGTGGTGCTGTTACTATTCATTAAACATCTTCTGACTTCAGAAAATTATTTTTACTTTTTGATATTTCTGTGTGGGTAGAAATTTTCTACTGTTTTACTTTTTCTTTTTCCAAATTAGACAAGAACAGAAAGAAAGAATTAATAGAGAGAAAAAAAAAAAGAAAAAAAAAAAGAAATCTTGTGACTAGTTGACTTGAAAGAACACATCTTTTCAATTTGACACAAATTTGTACATGACTCTTTTGCAATATAATATTGGGCCATTAGCGTAGCTGGTATGAATCCTATAATGAGTATTTGTGGGTGGGTGTGTGTGAGTAATAATTCATATATATATATATATATATATATATATATATATATATATCTGAGATACATTTTAGAATTAATGGGATTATAGTTATCATGTGGAGTTGTTGTGTTCCTCTGGCAACCCTTGGCCCTCATCCATAATCCCCCCTATCCATAATCCCTTTCTTTTCCGATGAAAAGGCCATCAATCCCTCTGAACAGAACAGAGGTCCATCTAAATGAAGCCACACCTGTAACAAGGCTACGAACATGGTTCACTAGTTTAGTTGTTGTTCCTGGTGATATTGCTCACTAGGAAGATGCCCGTCATGTCAGGATATTTGTGTGCTTCAATGATATTGTTTCCTACTATTATTTCCATATTCCATTGGCCACGGCTATTAAGTGGGTGTGTGACATCATCTTTCACTACCCTAAAGTTGTTGGTTATAATAGGTGTGTAAAAATCTGTAGAGCCTTGCGTGATTTGTTGACATTGGTTGTTTCTTGTCACAGAGTGGAAAATTATTTACCTTTATTCCTCTAATATTAATGAAGCCGAGAGAAGAAAAAAGGGAGGTACATTTTCGGGTTTCATGTAGTTATGGCGGCAGTTGCGGTTGTATGGTGGCATGAGAAGTATATGGTTAAGGAGCCCACGCAAGATTTGAGAAGAGAAAGATAATTTTATTTATGCCGCCTTTATTATGGGAGTGTGAGTGTCTGTATTGAACAACTACGCCTTAGCAAGCAAACCTTTGATAATTTATGCAACATTCTGAGAGTGAAGGGAGGGTTACATGATTTGATGCATGTTTGTGTTGAAGAAGCGGTTGCGATGTTTTTATACATCCTTGCCCATAATATACATAATCGGGTTATAAAGTTTCAGTTCATGCACTCGGGAGAGACAGTTAGTAGGCATTTCCATGCAGTGCTTAGAGTAGTAATCAAATTAAGCAAAGACTATTTAGTCCAATTGGAAAATGAAGATGAAGGTTTTGAAGAAGAGAAATGGGCTTGGTTCAGGCATATATCTTAGTTATTAGTCCTTAGGTGATACTTGTTTGTAAATAGTACTTGATTGTATTGACACCCCTACTTGTGATAAGAATGTCTTGGAGCACTAGATGGAACACATATCCCTGTATCTGTTCCACTTGAAGAACAGGAAAGGTACCAAAACAGGAAGAATTTTATTGCAACAAATGTCTTAGGAGCTTGTTCTCGTGACTTGAAATTTGTTTATGTTTTACCTGGTTGGGAAGGATCAGCTGGCGATGGCAAGGTTTTGCGAAATGCACTAGGGAGACAATATCCGTTAGTTGTCCCAACTGCTATGTGTGTGTTTATATATTAGTCTACAATGATATATTGATAAATTAGTGCTTTACATTGTGGGAAAATATTATCTTGTTAATACGGGATACCTAAATGCTCCAGGGCTTTTTGCCTCCATATAGAGGCACCCAGACCTAGGAATTTTGGTGTGTGTGTTGGGAGAGTGGCGCCATTGAAGAAAATGAATTTAAAGATAAATTTGTTTAAAATAAAATAATAATAATAATAAGAAGAAGAAGAAGAAGAAGAACCTAATTACTTAACGAGAAAGAGAGACTGGATTACTCCTAGTATCTTTTAGATTAAAAAAAAATAAGTGGGGGCAAGAGTCTATAATGGAGTATTTTAAAAAATTGAGTGGGGGCATTTTTTAAATTTTAACAAAATACATAGGTAATAATACAAATAAAAAAAAATTCAGTGACAGCATCCGTTCCTACTGGTCCTATGCTAGGTTCATGGCTACCCGTTATCACCTTATGAGTGGTCAACAAGCGGGAGCAACCCAAGAACTTACAAGGAGCTGTTTAATCTTAGACATTCAATTGCCAGAAATGTGATTGAAAGAGCATTTGGATTGCTCAAAAAGCGTTGGGCTATCTTAAGGACTGATTCGTTCTTGAAATTGAAGACACGAGTCAATATCATAAGCGCATGTGCCATCCTCCACAACTTCATCCGAATTGACAAGCCAAATGATCCATTATTAGATGAGGTAGAAGCTGAATTAGCTAGACAATCTGGTCATGGTGATGATGACGTGGTTCATGGTGATGTTGATGTGGAAGTTGGTGAGGAGGATATTGATGTTCATGGTGGTACAATCCCTATAGCTAATACAGATCGTATTAGGACAATCCGGACAACAAATGAATGGACTCAAATAAGAGATGCGCTGGCACAAGCGATGTTTGTTGAATATCAACAAAGAAGAGGAAATTTATGATAAGCGATGTTTGTTGGCACAAGCGATTTCCATCCTCTTCAGGTTCACAATTTAGAAAAAGAAAACAATGCAATTTAGAAAAAGAAGAAAACGCAACTCAGATGCACTGCATGCGGTTTTGGGACGTATGACTAACTCCCTTGAAAAAAATTTCTCTGAACCTCCAAAGTCGAGTACCAAGACCGTGTTAGAATAAGTCTCTAAGGTTTTAGAATGGACAATACTTAGTTACTCACTGGTGAGTAAGGTGAAGCTAATCACCCCTACGTGGTTCAATAATAAAATAACACATTACTTTTAATAATAGAATAATTCATTCCTTTCTCCGTTTTTTCGAATCAACCATTGAATAAACGTATATAGTATTTTTAGGTGTGGATTATTTTATTTTTAAATGTGATGTGTTATTTCATTATGCTATTCACCAGTGAGTAGCTAAGCATTATCCTTTCAGATTTGAACTATGTAAGCAAAAAAATTAATAGTCTAACAATAAATAATTAATATTTAGTTATCCATATATTTGAATGAATAGTTCATATATTTGAATAAATAGTCACCTATATATTTATGTAATACCCCGATAATTTTAAAAGATTTATTAATTAGGATTAATTATTTTATTTTATTTTTCAATGTTTTATTTTATTTTATTGAGTGCTAGATTAATTATCTTAGTTTAATTAAGTTATATTTCGTGATTATGTATGATGATTGATTGTTTGTGTGGTTGATTATTGATTGAATTATTGGTGTGTTGATTTTATTGGTATTATATGACTTAGTTGTAAATTCTTGTTTGTTTATGTGCTTCATGTAATTAGTTATTTTAATTTCTGTATTTAATTAATTATCTTATTTATTTAAATTAATTGGATTGGGCTTAAGGAAAGTTGGACCAAAAGATGTGGTCTTGGACTTGTATGAAACCTTATTGGGTTAATTAATGAAGGTCCGTGGTTATTTAATTATTTAAATGATCACTTTTGTATCAATTATATTTATATATATATATATATATAATTATATATAAATATAATTAATTAATAATTGTTATGGAAAGATATATATATAGATATATATTTATTGATATTTATAAGTATATATGATTTAATTAACTAATGAATTAATTATGGAAGGAATATATATTTATATATAATATATGTTTATAGATATAAATTATTTAAAGGTTATTATTTTAATTCATAATACTAGTTGGAATAGGATTTGGAATTTAAGGTGTATAAAAATACACATAAAGCTTTAGGGTTAAAGGTTTTACACGTTAGAAAAATAAAATAGACAGAGAGAGAGGAAGAAGAAGGGCTGCTGACAAGGAGGAGGTCGGATCTGAAAAGGAGGACGTCGGAAATGGAAGAGATAATTAAAGCTTACAACGTCGGTTTCGTTTCGAAACCTTCAGGCGAGTTTTCTCTAACTTTCCTCTTAGAACTTATAATGATTTCACCTTGAGTATCAAGGCTTTAATTAAATTTATTTGTTTAAAAATTATGGTTAGATCGGAATAATTAAAAAGTATAAACTATTATATTTGATTTTTAGATTATTGGATTTTAATTGATATATATAGGTGTTATGTATATTTTAAAATCAATCTATAGGTGGATTTGTGACCCAAGAGAGTTAATTATGGTTTCTTTATTTTCTAGAATTGTTCTGTAATTTTCTGGAATTTTTCTGATATTTTTAGGAATTTATTAGGATTTATTTTCCTATTATTTGTTAGGAAAATAATTATATATATATATATATATATATATATATATATATATATATATACTAGGTAACTGGGAGCGGCGGCACAATAAAGAATTGATCCAGTGCGGCGCGGTGTAGGATAATAGGGTGTATACGCCAATTAGGGCCATTTGATTAATTAAACTTATGTGAATTGATATGGTGCATCGCGGCGCATAAAACTTTGGTGCGCAGGTGTATCTGGACCATAGAAGTGGTCTGGTCAACTATGGGATTATTTGGTGTATTGCAGACCATGAGAAGATGGTGCACTCGCTGATCTGGACCTTAGATCTATTATAGTTAATAGAAAATAATCTAGTGTGAGCGTGTTCATTTGCGCACTCATTTATGACCATTGGATGCGGCATAAAGGAAGTGATGGATTCAGTGTGGTGAGCTCACGGTAGCTGAAAGAGCTTAGCCAATACCAGCACACAAGGAGGCTTGAATCCAGCGCGTGCAAGTGCATAGTAAGCACGTGGGCGCGCGTGGGAAACTATGTTGGCCTAATTCGACACTAGAAATTAAAACGGTCATAACTTAATCATTTTAAATCGAAATTGGGTCATTCTTGAGCTCAAATTCAAGGATTTTTCGTCTTCTTTCCAATGGTACCAATTTCATTATCAGATTCCCATCCTACTAGGAGATATTTATGTTTTAGTGAGAAAGTGTCGGAAAACTATTTAAACCAATATGGAGTATTTAAAGGAAACTATTTCTGACATATTTAGTTGCACTAATTTGTGTAAATATAATAAATTAATAATTTGTTATGGAAGGAAGTGTATATATATATATATATATATATATATATGTATGTATGTATGTATATTGATTTTAAATAATCAAGGATTATTAAAGAAGGTGTTAAACACATATATACATTAAATAACATATGTGTAGGTATATATATATATAAATCATTTAAGATGATTAATATTATCATTCTTATTTGGCATATCTTAATAGGCTGGTTGTTAAATTAATGATATGCGTATAATATGCATGTGATGGCTATGTATGATTTTGCGTATTGTTAATTTTAAAGTTAATTCATGGTTAAAGTGTGGGCATGGATGAATTGTCAAATGATTAAATATATTACCTAAATATTTGTATGAATAGAATACATATATGGAAAGTATGGATGAATTGCTAATTAAATGTATGAATAAATATACCTGTGGAGGCATGGTTGAATTGCCAATGTATAAATATACATACACGGAGGCATGGTTGAATTGCCAATGTATAAATAAATATACTTATGGAGGCATGGTTGAATTGCCAATATATAAATAAAAATATTTACAATGGCATGGTTGATTTGCCAAAACATAATTACGTTGTTATGTGTTAGATGATTAAAATATCATCTATGGTTGTTGTATGTATGGATTGGATTAGGGTTAGATATTCTTAAATGATAATAGTTTAGTACTTACTGGTTAGTGTATTATTTTACATTAATAAAATAATATTGGGGAAGACGTGGATGATTTGTCAAAACTTGGATTTTGGATATGTGATTTAAACAATTAAAATCATTATCGGGTTGGGATTAAATAGAGTATTTCTTTTATTATAATTTGTTATTTAAATGATTAAACAACTGACTAGGATGGGATTAAGGTCAAAGGAGTTTTTATAAAATGAAATGGTAGATTGGTCTAGGTATGAATATTATTTTAATAATTATTTAATAGGTATGGAAATTTAATAAACCTATTAATAGATGTGATTAGTATAGTATATAAAATTATATATAGACATGTATATCGTGCTTTATTAAAGTTAAAACTTTATTAGGTTTGGTTTTGATCAGAGATGATCTGCTTATTGGTTTTCAGAGGCCTGGTAGAGTGAACTTGCTCGTAGGGTTTAACCCACGATTTATTTTTCAGGTTATTAGAGGTTCCAGTCTCGAGGTTGAGGATCCGCAGCTGGGAGACTGTCATTCGTCAATTCATCTTGTGTACTTTTAAATAGTATTGGATTATTGGATAATGTTTTAAGGGGTCCTTGAGTTATGGGATTTCCGAATTGTAATTGTTGGAGAATCATTAAGTAATATTTATTTATTAGTTTTCTTCAGCGGTTTATTTATTCTTTATTATTCATCTTTGTATTCTGTGCTTGTTAAATACTTTAATTGTTTTGATATCCCTTGATTTTGTGCGCGGACTTGATCAACCCGTGTTTCGAAATTAGGGGGTATCACAATTTAAGAGTTGTGTTGTTTTGTTGAAGAGTCACATATGAAGAGTTGTGTTGGTTGATGGAACCAACACACCTCTTAACGTTTACTGGAACGATCCTAACTCTCATCTATATATATACGTAGAAGTCTGGAATCCATCGTCCAGTATACAGTGAAAGATAAGAGGGTTGAAGGTCGTCTTCTATATGATATAAGTAATATTTCCGCTGAAATTCTCTTTAAACTGAGTTTCTATATTCAGGTATGTCTTTATTAGATTTATGCATTGGAACAATGTATTCTATATATTGTTGAATTTTCTTACATGTGGTATTAGAGCCAACATGGACTCTGATGTATAAATTTGATTTATTTGTTAACAATATATTGTAAATAGTATAGTATGAAATTTATATGCAATACGTGTTTCAGATGCAAAAGAACACAAATATATGTGTGTGTGTGTGTGTGTGTATATATACTTTGTTTTTCATGTATACGCATACACACACACACTATGTATACGGGAAAATATCAAATATTTTAGACAAAAGTGCAAAATAACCCCCCTGAGGTTTACTCCATCGAGCAAAATACCCCCCTGAAGTAAAAAAGTGAGCAACTCAGTCATAGTAGTTCTGAAATGGAGCATATTGCCCCCCTGCAGACGCCGAATTCCTCTTTTCGGTGATATATATAAGTATAATTACATATATGTCCCGTATAATTATCATTTTAGAAAAAATAAAAAACATAAAAATGTAAAATATCGTTTATACCCTTAGTAGTTGTAAAGTCTTGTTTGACAAGATAGTTCAATTGCCCATGACGGAAGATCTCCAAACCTCATAGCCTGCAGCAGAAGGAATATGCAAGTTCAAAAACCTCAACAAAGAAGTATATTGAAGAAAATTGGAGAACGGAAAGACATGTGTGCAAGGTATAAAAATGTATTATGAATAGCCCCATGAAAAATGTAGAAAGCTCTACCAAACAAGTCAAGTTTAGACTATGTCAAACCTGATTCTGAAAAGCT